AGGTTACATTTGACTTGAAAAAGGTTGTTTGCGACTTGCAAAAGGGTACATTTGATATGTAAAGGGTTAGACTTGACTTGGAAAATGTTGCTTGCGACTTGAAGATGATTTGTAAAAGAGACCTCTTTTTCTATAAAATGAAAATTGCCCACGGTAATGAAAAATCCATATTTTTCTATCTTCTAGTTTGATATGCGCTTTTTTCTAGTGCTAAATAGGTCACCGACAGAGGTGGATTCTTTAGAGGTTGGCAGTAATTCAAAATTGGCTATTTTCGTTTTGTTTGGTTCTACAGACGCCAACATTCTTAACAATTGCAAGTGGCGAAACTTTTTGATTGCACTAGAACAATTAACAAAAGTTATTTAAACGAAAATAAGAAAGTAAAAAAAAAGGAAATATCACATTAAGTAAAACAATCTACGAAAATGCTGTACATTTATTGTCTGCTCGTTCAACAGATGATCAACAGTATGATTGAAAGAGGAATGGGGGGGATGAAGTCCTTCATTCACGCTAATAAATTATATCCCCACACCAGACTTTGCTCAGACTACCACAGGTAACTCGACATTCTTCGGGGTAATACATTTTTTCTAATAAGTTACATTCACACACCCCAATTCATTCAGAGTGCCCCAGTGTACTCGATATTCTTCGGGTTAATTGGAGATAATCTTTTAGCCATGCTACTAGAGTTTCATGACATTGAATGGACGGCCTAATCTCCCATTATATTGAAGAATGTCCGGTTATCTATAATTACTGCCAACCTCTAAAGAATCTACCTCTGTCGGTGACCTATTTAGCACTAGAAAAAATCGTATATCAAACTAGAAGATGACATTCACACTACCCAGGAGTAGCTGATATCTCTGATTCCACCCCCCCCCCCAAGTATGGATAAATCCTTCGTGAAATATAAATGACATCCATACATTCATTCGTACGGGGGCAGGAGTATTCGGACCCGGGACCAAATACTCAGAACCCATGGGAAAACACACCAGTATCTTCCAAGCTGAGATTCACGCAATTGAAAGATGTATCCAATTCAACCTAAATAAAGGATACAAAAACAAGAATATAGCTATCATGTCAGATAGTCAAGCAGCCATCAAAGCACTAAGCTCAAGTATCATTAGTTCAAGGATGGTGCTGAACTGCAAAACCAAATTAAATACATTAGGCTCGCAGAATAAAGTCAGCCTCTGCTGGGCCCCAGGACACATGGGAGTAGAAGGCAATGAGAAAGCGGACACCCTTGCAAGGAAAGGGGCTGCCACACCGCTGATAGGACCCGAACCCTTCTGTGGCATAGGAATCCACACTATTAACGAATATCTCAGACAGAAGGACAAAAAGAAAATGAAGGAACAATGGAATTCACTCATTGGACATAGACAATCCAAGAATCTGTTGGACCAATTTTGGCAAGAAAGAAATCACAGAATGTGTCAAAGGAAGCAGGAACAGACTGCGAATCCTAACAGGATTCCTAACAGGACACTGTAGATTAAATGGACAACTAAAGAAAATTGGAACAATCCAAGATGGCACATGTAGATCCAATGTAGACACCAACACACTTACTAACAAACTGCGGAGCTACATTAGCCCGCAGGAGGAAATGTTTTGGGATGTACAATGTGACCATAGAAGAGCTTCAACCATTAAAACCGGGCCTATTAATCAAGTTTCTTGATGAAATAGAACTCACCGATGTGCTTTAGGCAGAAAACGGGGGATACAATAGCTCTCAAAGGGCGCAATATACCATACCCTGAAATATTACATCTACCTCTATATCTACATCTACATTCATTCGTACTAATCCACAATATTCGATATTCCTCAGGGTAAATTAGAGATAAGCCCCAAATTCACGCTAATAAACTACATCCACACTACCCGACATTCTTCAGTATAATGGGAGATTAGGCCGTCCATTCTTACTAAGTTACAGTCATACTATTCCAAAGTACTCGACATTCCTCGGAGTAATTAGGGGTTAAACCCCTCCTTTCACGCAAATAAATACATTCGTTCTAATAGATAACACATACATAAAGATGACTGAATGATGAATTGAATTGAATGATCTATATATAATTAAAACTATTTATGTCTTTGTGGTCTGTTATGTGATCTGCTGGGATAAATTCTTCACCTGCGTAGTCTCAAGTAAGGTCTTTAGTAGTAGTAGAGCAATTTTTCTCTGAATTATCACGAGTTTGTTCAAAAAAGAAAAGAAATGGTCCACAAAGTTTTAGAATATTATATTCGGTACGAAATTTGAATTGAAGAACACAGGATGAACGAATTCGTTAACAGCAGTGCGTATAATTATTTCAGAAATAGCGCCGATGGGGGAACCTGTATAGTACGTTTAAAACTGTTTGACCTCGGAAAAAGGCAAATGAGTCCGAAAAATAAAAAAATAAAAACTCCCAATGATTCTAGAAGGTGGAGCATCGGCGTGCGCGTCCAAATTCTCAGAGCATTGGCCTTGTCTCCCAACTCAGAAGGAGAACGTTCATGATAGGATGACTCATAAAAAAATTGGCCGATTTAATTATTTATGAAATTGTAATCCTCTATAGGCATTATTTTTTTCAAATACAATTAGATTTGATACCATTTTAATCATTAGATTACACAACATGAATGTGTAAAATAATGACTCGTCAAGCCTTCAGTTTTGTTTTAAAGTTTGGTTAAACAACATGGCGGTAAAACTTGAAATTTGGGTTCCATTATTGGAAACGTAAGTTTTCTGCCGCAGAAACAACCCGATTGGTGCAGAGTATGCTCTCTCCCAACGGACAGCGTATAGATGTTTCCAGAAATTTGAAGACGGTGACATTAGCCTCAAGCAGAAAGAGGGTTCCGGACGAAAATTATCATTCGATGAGGAAGCTCTGCGGGACTCTGAGGCAGATTCAACGAAAAGTACGCAGGAGAGCTTGGTGTTTCCCAATCCACCAAAATCCGTGACTATACAACTTGTGGAAAGTGAATCGCTCAATAAGAATGGTCGAGTAGAAATTTGTCAATATTTTTTGAAAAACCCAAAATGAACATTTTTCATCAAAATAATAGTTACTTGTAATGAAAAGTGGATATATTGGAGAAACCCCAAGTCCAAAAAACAATTGCTAGACTGTAATCAGCCTGCTCTGCCAGGCGTTAAACAAGCGCAATTTGACAAAAAGTCAATGCTCTCTGTATTTTGTAATTACGAAGGCATAATTCATTATGAGTTCATTTTAGAAGGTTAAACCATTGATTCAAAACTTTATTCTGATGCATATCATTCTGTTACAAAAAATGTGATGTTTGGACCCAACGTTACTCAGAATTAGTCAATAGAAATTTTGTTTCAACACCCGACACACTTCTCATTGAACGAAACAAAAAATTACAAAATTGGATGGAATTGAGCTTCTCCCTCACCCTGCTTACAGTCTATAATTAGCACCTTCGGACTACCATCTGTTCTGGTCCAAGGATAATTATCTTCAAGGGAAATTTTTTAATTCCCTGGATGAGGTTCAAAATGAAGTTGCAGAATTCTTCCATTCAAAACTCAAAGAGTGGTATTGTGGAGGGATCCAACACCTGGCCTTGAGACAGCACCAAACCATAGCACACAATTATCTATATTTAGAATACTTAAAAAAAAATTGTGTCAAAATAAATTTATTTTTAAATTAGCAAGAAAAACATTTTTATAACTCGCCTTATTAAAAACCTGTACAAGTGTACAATCAACAAACTGACAAGGTTGAACCACATTTTGATGAAGTTTTTATTGGCTGATAATAAAATGGAAATTCCCGAACATTGTTTTTCAAATAGAAAATAATTTTTTTGGATTGGATGGGAAAGGAAAAATCACAAAATTTTGATATTTTATAACCAGCTAGTTCGTTAGCTAGTCGCTACTTTTTCATTTCTGTTATTTATATCTTTCTAAAATACAATATTGAAAATATATGTCTGAAATGAAATGGACTTTATAAATAATATGTGAAACATTTTCGAAATTGTTTTTCACATTTTTTTTAAATTAGAGGGAGTTGAGAGTGTAAAATTTTGATATTAGCTTTAAAAAAAATGAAATTAATTAATTATACACACAAATCAAAGTGGGGAAAAAGACAATTTTGTTTTTATTTAAAACTACAGTGAAATCCGGTTGTAAGGATATTGAAGGGACCAGGCAAAATTGATCGTTATAACCGGAATGAGAGGGGGAGGAAAAAAAACATTTTTATAGCTTACAGTTTTATATATTATTTACTTTTACATATAAGTACATACCTAATTCAATTTTTACAAGTTAAAAAAATGCGTAATATGTATTATTATAATTATACAACAAAATAAAATTAAAGGAATAACTAATAATCGTAATTATGTAATTGCTATTTATGTACATACATATTTACATTCTTTATTTTTTGACAAAAAAATCTAAAATTTTAGTTTGCTTGTTTTGTTTTTTTTACAAATTTTTGCTCACATATTCGTCAAGTTCTTTTAAGGAAGCTGCAGTTTCAGGTTTATTTATGTCATCATTTAGGGCGACGTATGTGCAAATGACACCAAGAGCGCTGTAGACTTTTGATAGAGTCAGAGTACGGAAAAGATCATCTTCAGTCTCGCCGATATCTTCATCATCTTCCACCTTATTCTTATTTAAAATGGACGCCACGATTGAATCTTCGGTCGGTTCCTCTGATGTAAGGATGTTAGCATCGACTTCTGCGTATGACTCTGCATCGCCGTGAAAATTGAAATCGAGCTGTTGAGCCCATTCATTAAAGTTCCTCACGTCGTCTTCCTGGTCGGTTCTCGTTTCGTCTTTTCCAAAACCATGTCTAAAGCAATTTTGAATGGTTTTTTGAGTGACGTCGTCCCAGGAATCGGAAATCATTAGGATTGCGTCAAGTAGAGACACCTTAAAGTTTTCTAGCTGGTCCAACATTTTTAAAACCAAACGTTGACGAAACTTCACTTTGAGGGATTTGATTATGCCTTGGTCCATGGGCTGAAGCACAGATGTCTATTGGGTGGTAAAAAATTAAGTTCGATGTTTTTCAGGTTTGGGAGTGACAGATGAGAAGAACAGTTATCTACAGTGAGAAGAATTTTTCGTTTCTTCTTTTGAAGCTCTTCGTCCCATTTGCGAAGCCAGTCGGAAAAAATCTCGCTCGTCATCCACGCTTTTTTATTGTGGGTGTAATCTAGCGGAAGTTTTTGGACATTTTTGAAGCAACGCGGAGATTTTCCGATGATTAATAATTTTTTCTTATCTGTTCCCGTCATGTTGCTCGCGACTAGGACTGTAACTGTCTCTTTTGAGTGCTTCCCACCATGGCACGATTCCCCTTTAAATAGAAGAGTCTTGTCCGGCGTCAATCGGTAAAACAATCCGGTCTCGTCGGCATTGTAAATGTCTTCGTCAGCGAAATTCTCCCGAGTTGTAGGCCAGATGCACTGTAGCCAATTTTCGGACACTCCGGCTGGTACACTTGAAGATTCTCCGCTGATCTTTCCAAACACGATGTTGTGCCTTGCCCTGAACCTTGTTATCCAAGACATTGGAGCATTGAAAATCTTTACCCAGGATCCTGGCGAACTCATTTCCTTTTGCTTGCAAGATGGCACTCCAAAAGAGCTGCTTCAAGCTCTTCGTGTTGGCTGTTACGAAGCTTTTTCTTCGATTTGACATCTTTTTCGAAAATTTCTTTTATTTTTTCTTTTGATTTCCAAATCGTTGATATTGTTGATTGTGAAATGTTGAGCTCGGAAACTAAACTTTTGATAGTTTCTCCCTTCTCAATCCTTTGTATAATTTTCACTTTTTCTTCAATTGAAAACGCGCGGCGTTTATTCGACGCCATCTCGCACAAGGAAAAAATGAAGACTGAATCTAATCTAAACTCGCATTTTGAAGGAATAGTGCGCAGTGAATAGAAGGAAGGGTGTGAACAAGAAAATTGTGGATAGGCGTGGGATAAAATTCGGTGAAAAAAGGAAGGAGTCATACCTAACGAGTACCGAGTAACGATCGGAAAGAGACAAGACTTGTTTACGTTTAAAAATAGAACTAGATATTCTACGAATTATTTTTGTGTTAAACGTTATAAACGGAATAAAAAATACATTTTTTTCTTTAGTTTTATATCGTTATAGACACAATAGTTTTATATCGTTATATCCACCATCGTTACATCCGGATTTATTTCTTCACTTTTACATAGCAAACCAAACTAGACACCCGTTTCACATCGCTATATCCGGACTATCGCTAAACGCGGAATCGTTATAGTCGAATTTATTATTTTTTCACCACTACTATTTTCAAAATTTTCAAATTCAATAGTATGTGCATATATTTTTATCATAGTATTAATTACAATATACATGCTTTAATGAAAACTAAATTATACAAGATCAGAAATTCATTAGTTTTTATAAGAAAAATTTAATTAGGATGGTTTGAAAGAAAATTCACCAAAAGACTCGAAAATCATTTAGTGATAGATTAAAATTTAACTAACAATTCTATCACTAAATGAGTTTCTGGTGTTTTGCTGAATTTTCTTTCAAACCATCATAATTAAATATTTGTTATTAAAACTCATTAATTACTGACCTTGTTTAATTTGATTTATATTAGTATGTTGTAATTAATATAATGATACAAAAACTTATAGTTTGAAATAAACTATTTTTTGTTTTTGAATAAATTTGTTTAAAAATTGTCTTCTTTTAAAAGATACACTGATTGATTTATATAAGCTAGTATACACATACACACACTGTGTATGACTTCTCGTGCTTACTTCAGCTAGCTTACTACTTTGCACTCTGTAGTCAGACCTTGATTTTAACACCTATGTTAGGCTCCAGGAGCTGTCAGCAGCTAGACCATTTCAATCCTCAACGCATGCAGATTTAAAGCTAAATTTACATACATTTGCATTCATTTTTTAAATACATTCTTTATCATCTAAATCCATTCAAGTAAGGTAGTTGAATATTTGATATTTCTCATTGCGCTTTACACATACGCTAAACTAATTGGTCAATAGTGACGCAATATTCCACCATTGCCCTCTCACACTACACATTCATATTACAAAATTAGTTCAATATGAAGATGTACAAAAGGAAACACAAATCAAAATTAGCTTAGTAGTAATATTACGCAAAATAATTTATAAAATTAGCAAAACTTAGATAAGTACTAATACAATAAGACAGCCCTATTTCCTCCAAAAATCAGTACCCAAATACTCATTGCTCTGCTCAAGACAGTCCTAATATCATATGGCATTCCTACACGCTCTTTATGTAGAGCCTTTCAGATAATTAGCTTGTGGTGGCAGGAGATTATTTGGCAATAATCATAATAGTGATTAGTGAATTTTGATGATTTTTTATTGTTAGGATAGAATGAATTTCTGTTTTGTTTGTGACATGATTTCTTCATTCATGATTTATTTACATATAATTGTATTTATTGCTATTTCTTATTTATTTTTTCTTTGTTATCATCTATGAAATATAATTTTTTTTAAACAAATTAGTGTTCTTGGGTACATCCACTATGCCTGAATTAATCAAAACTGACTTAAAACTCAACTAAAATGAATATTGAGTAACTTGTTATGCATCAGTTTAGCCTTTTGCACGTATGAAAAATTAAAAGTTACATAACATCCTTTTCAGATGGTATCCCCTCTTAACAAAAAAGTAACAGAAATATTTTCTATTTTGAGAGATCTCAAAATTAATACGTATTATTATTGTATACATTTTATATTCCAATCCTTAGTGATCACTATCAAAATAAGTTTGAAGGCTGGTTAAATATTGTGACGATGGAATTGTTTATCTTTTAAAAGTTAATATTATTAGAGTTGTTTTCTAAAGGATAATACAGCAAAGGTCCTTATACCTTGAGTATTTTGATAAATATTTTATCAATCTAAAGGTAAAGTTTAGAAACGAATATAAAGTACAAAATTCAGGTATGTTTTATGACAATTTAAAACCCCTATTTGTGTAAATGTGGCACGGCGGTTTTTTTCATTTAAAAAATACAAATAAAATCAGAAAATTCTTGAATGTCAGCAAATCTAAATGAAGTTTTGCAGCCCTACCAGTTATTAGCAGATTGTTTCATTTTTACAAATTTAAACAGTAGTTTGAGGTAATTAGCTTTAAAACTGACTCAATTTTCAAATTTTTTACAGGAGATGCAAGAAGAGACGGTTTAGAGCCATGCATTGAGATTTAGATTTTTTTTAAAATTATTTTTATTGGGAAGATGGAATATCTCCAAACATTTAAGGCATAGTTTCCAATATTGTATTATTTCCAGATTGCCAAAAATTTAAATTTAAATTGTGGAGTGAGTCGGTGTAGCTAATCAATGATCAGTGTACACACTAGGAATTTATGTAGAAAAGATGATCAGGGACGAGGCCGATTTGACTGAAAACACTCAGTTCCTTCGTCAATTTGAGGAATATGCCTTGATCAGGGCTATGAAATTTTACAATAATATTTAAAAAAAAATAAAACTATGTTCCATCTACATAACCAGGTTAAGCCATGGTTGGATAATTATAAAATAAAACCAATTAGATTCACAGAATTAAAATGACTCTCTTTTCTATCTAATTGGCCTCATTCCTGATCACCTTTTCTACATAAATTCCTAGTCAGTAGGATGATTGCAAAAATGTTTGAAAAAAAAAATTATCATAGATAATTAAACCACCTAAAAAATTTAAAAAACAAACAAAAAAAAACGATAAGTTTATTTAAACAATACTCTGATTTCTTAGGTAGGAAAAAAGTAAAGTAGAAATAAAATTTTTATTGAAGGAAAAACCGCCCAAATGGTGAATATTGGATCGAGCCAGTATTGATCTAAATAAATTGGAGTTGGATGCATTTTTATACAGAAATGGGTAGCTTTTGATCAAAATGACCTTGCTAGTTGTAATGAATTGAGAACTTGCGAAAAAAAAAGTTATTAAAAAATGTGAATTGAGCCGGTTTTGAAACTAATTCCCTCATTTAGAAATAATAAAAGGATTTTAAGTATGTACATCTTTGATTTAAAGGAGTATATAAATTTCTTGGTTCTTCTTTGTCCTGTATACTTAGTAGAAATATTCATGTTTTCAAATATACTGCATTTTGTGGAATGTTTTCACAAAAACTGAGAAGCTAATCTTAAAATAACGTCAGTCAGACTGAAAATTTGTTTTGTAAATAAAAAATACGTGACAAAGCATAAACAGCATTTGTTTAATTAGCAACTTTCAGTTCATTGACACTGGCTTAGCACAAAATGGTAAAACCAATGCCTTGAACTAATTAAACAAAAGAAACAGCTCAATTTGTAATTAAAATTTATAATTATACAATTAAATTTGTTTTCAGATGTGCTTAATTCGCTATGTGCTGTCAGCAGCACTGGTTGTCCATTTGGCTACATCGCTCGAAAACCCATGCGTGACCAAAAACATGACAATTATGTCTGGGTCGAGTTTCAAGAGTTTGGTCGAACCGGGAAACTGTGGTAGAGCCAATGTTAACGAATCTGAATTCCGGACTGCTCCTAGTATTATCCTCCACAACTCAGGATCTAAGGTATCAATTTAAATTATAAACAACAATATAGAAAGGTACTAATTTGTTTTAATTTCAGACCAAGGACAAGTACACACTTATGGTGATGAGGGAAAAGAAAAATATCCATGATCAATTTGAATTGATGTGGCTCCTGTCAAATATTTCGGTAAGTTTATTTAAAACATAATTATTAATTAAGTTTAATAGAGACTTTAGATAGATATATAGATTCTTCTACTTTTCCATTATACATTTTTTGATCGAATGTTTTACATTCCACATAAATTATTTTAATTTTTGATCTTTCATTGAATAAATTGAAACTGAAAAATTACAGCCTCTTACCAACTCGCTAACAGCGAATAAAACAAGGACTACATTTTTTCGTAAGTTTTTAAAATTATATTATACCAATAAAATAAATAAATACGGAATGATTTACAGCTTACACTCCCCTCACTGCCAATGGTACTGGCAAATATTGGGTATTGGCATTCCTTCAAAACACTAAAAATGGTCTCCTATCTGTTGGCTTGAAAAGTACTGAGTACGCAAACTTTTGGCCGCAAATCTGGATACAAAGAAACAGCAAATGGATTCAAAAACTAGTCGGAGGTCTGGTGTTCACTGTGTATCCAGCCAAAACGAAACCAAGGTAAATCTTTTTGTTACAAACATATATAGGTGCAGTTATAAAAAAAATGCATAAAGAGTGACTAATAATAATTATAACAAATAATGCTGTTGCATGGGGGATAGACCTTTATGGTTACATGGTTGAAGCATGTTAAGCTCTTTCCAGAAACAGATGGGTTCATGATGGCAATCCAAGACCATGTGGTGGTGATGAAGGTGTATCTGAAAAGAATAGTTGAAGACCCCACTGTGACAGATGAGGCAAGCCGGATTTATGGTAGGGATCCGAAGGCAATCTAGCATGTACTGTCTGAGTGCATAGTACTCGCTGTCATGGAATCCCTCGAGAGACATAATAGAGCACCTAAGATTGTACACATAACATTGACCAAATGTTTGAATCTATTGCAGGAGGTAGATTCTTACTGTCGTTACTGTCCTACCAGGAGTGGGAGGATACTATATTGGAATCGTACAGTCCTCACGGACAGACCCATCGTACATAGGTCCGATTTTATATGGCATGATAAGAGGAAATGTAATGTTTTTATAATAGACATAACTGTGCCAGATAGACGAAATTTAGTTGAAAGTGAAATCTAGATAGTAAAACGCAGAAAGTACCATGAACTTTCTCTTGAATTTGCTGCTGACTTATTTCTGACATCTTGAACATTTAATATTTTGTAATTAACATGGAATTTAGTTGCATTCAAGTATTACATAAATATAAAACTAAGTTTAACTTTTTCTGGGAAACTATTTCCATAATTACTGTCATTTTCATAAATACGGTCCATGCACGGAAATTGAACTTGCAGCAAGTCATGTACTTCCTTGAACCAACTGATTTTCCAAATGTAAAAAAAAAAATGTAATTAAATTAAAAATGTAATTACATTTTAAAAATTAAAATGTAATCTCTTAAGTGTTAAATATGTTTTAAAAGTGGATTGTGTCTGAGTCAGTACTTTATTTACACAGTGTGAAGCCAGAAGGTGTAATAATAGAGGGGGAGTCAATCTGTTTCCAAATAACCTAGGCGGTCGAGTAAAAAGTAACTATTTGTATTACATCTCAGGTAGCCCAATGTCCAATGTAAGATGTATTTTATCCAAATAAAACATACATTTTTTAGAAAAAAAATATATATAATTAATTAAGGCTTTAAGTTGAGATAAAAAAGATGAGGGTTGAGATGGGAAGTTAGTGGCCGAGGTGATCGAAGTCACGATAGCTCAAGTGGTAAAGCAGCGGCGTATCTAGCCGAAGATCGTGGGTTCGAATCCCGCTCGTGACACTGACTTTTTTAACTCAACTGAAAACCTTAATTAATTGAATGTTATTAATTGGTCAAGCAGACCACGAAAAATAGTGAATTTGAGAATATATATAATATTACACTGGACAAAATTAATGCACACCCCTTATATTCTAATGTATTTAGGGTGATACATATTTTGCATACCAAAAATATGTTTGGTTGTAAAAATAAGACATTCAAAAACAAAATGTTTATTATCTAATTCTAAAAAAAAATAAAAAATGATTTGTTTAAAAAAATTAAAAAACAAATAAAAAAGTGAAAAAACTTTTTGGCCCCTTTTAATACTGATCATTTCCACCTTTGGCATAAATCACATCGGTTTGAAGAAATGTCTCAACAAAGCATGTTTGTTTCTTTTTTTATATGTGCAAATAGGATTAGCACAAATGGACTGGGCATGAACTACACTAATAGCACAACATCTTTTCTAATTGGTGTTTGTTAGAATTTAGCCTTTGAATTCTTTGGAAAAGATTTCTCATTAAATCCTAAGAAATTCTTTCACATTCATCAAGATCAGCTATTTCCAAATTTTCTAGGGTGTTAGGACTTGGGTTTCGCCGCCGTACTCGTCTCTCAAGTTGGTCCCAAATGTGTTCGATTGGGTTCAAATCTGGACTTCGAGCTGGCCACACTAAACTAAATTCCAACCTCATTCAGACAGTTGACCACAATACATGCTCTACGGGGGGTATTTTCCTGCATTAGCAAGAATCTCTCACCGATGAGGGGGTAAATGGAACTACATGTTCTTTGATTATGTCTTGCAAGGCTTGTGAAGTTAGATCTTCATTGCACAACAACCAATTTGGTGCAAGGAAATGCCACCTCACAACATCAATGACCCATCTGAAAAACCATACTGTACCTTTCTCCCGTGCATCTCCACATGAAATTATGCCCATCTGAAGATTTTTAGGCTAACTCTCACCTCATCTCTAAAAAGAACTCTTCCAACATCCAATTCCAATGAGTAATTGAAGCCTGGCCATTTTTTGAGCTGTGGTAAAAAGAGTTCCATGAGCAGGGTGCCGGGCTCTGAGGTTATTTTAATTGAGCCTTCTTCTTACAGTCTTGGACGAAATTGAAATTTCAGACTTGGTTAGGGTATCCAACTCTATTTGCTACACTAGCAGTCCTGTCATTGAATCCTGGCAGAGCCCATGGATTTTTAATTGCGAATGTGGAAAAAGTATTGTAAAGTGGCTTTGACCCTTCGTTCATGACATCCAACAGGTAGTTAGACGTTAGACAGGAATTATTCTACTTTACTTTTACATATGTATGGCTCATCATGTTTAGAGAGGCACAATACCATTTTTCTCATAAAATAAGTCAACATTTTCATTGCTCAACCAACCATCCAAACCAGTGCTCGCCCAAAGATTATCCCCACAAGTTTTAATTATAGGTTTGAAACCATATATGATATTTTACATCATTGAAGTTTTAAATTTAAATATGGCATAAATGATTTTTGTTTTATTAATTTTTAAGCATGTGCATGATTATTATTCATTTCTGATATGTGCGAACAGGACTAGATCTGCAAATGGAACAGGCATGAACTACACTAACAATACTGATGTTTTCCCTTCTTGGTATGTTAACAAAATAACATTTTTTGTTTAAATTTATACTTCCACATACTTTATGAAATGCCCTAAAATTACTTTTAAATATTAATTTTATTCAGATTTTCAGTGTTTATTTAATTCAAACTTAGCACTTTATAGATTTAGTTTGTTTGACTAACAATTTTAAAAGATAATTTAGGAATACAATTATCTTTAGTATGTTTTAATGATATGTGAGCATTTTTATTTTATTAAAAATATTTTTTTATATGGAATTTATATCTCACTGTTTAAGGTTTTATAAAACATAGAATGAGATTTGAAGACATGTCTTAATCCTATAATTATAATGCATGTTTTTTTTTGTTTTTTTATATGTGCAAATAGGATTAGCACAAATGGACTGGGCATGAACTACACTAATAGCACAGCATTTTTTTCTAATTGGTATGTTTGTTAGAACTTAGCAAACTTTGTCTGTGAACATTAAGCTTGACTTTTTTTTACATCTTAACGATTGCATGTTTAGTTATTTCTGTGTTTTATATGTTATTTAACAGGACAGGAACAGCCAATGGAACTGGCAGGAACCAGACTAACATGTACCCTAATCACACGTAAATGCAATGACACTTCATCAGTTTTAACGTTCTAATATTTTTCTCGGTTTTATTTTAGGAATCCAGTTTATCCGGCTCCTGCGCCAATGCCACCCCACGGCGGTGGATATATTCCACAGCCTGTTCCACCCCAAGGAGGTAGCTACCCTTCACAACCAGTGCCACCACATGGAGGTAGTTACTATCCACCGCCACCGCCACCACAAGGTGGCGGTTATTTCCCACCGCCAGTACCACCCCACAGTGGTGGCTACCCACCCCAACCGAATCCGCCGCCTAATACTGTCATCCATCACCATTACGTCAAAGACAAGAAAAAGAAAGGCGGTGCTAGTGCAGTCACAGCCATCCTACCTCTGGTCATAGGGCTGGCTTGGGCCACTTATCAACTCTAGGTCATCTTAATTCTCATGTTTTTCATTTTATTTATATTATATGATCATCTACGGTTATTTGTGTTATACTGTGACAGAAAGTTCTTTTTTTTCATAATTTTTATAAAGTGCATTTGTATATATTACAGTATATAACTATATTTGAAATGTTCATACAGAAAAAATAAAATAAAATAAAACCGTTTAGGCGAAGTAATATTTATTTGATGGACAGAGGATGTTTGAAGTTCGCTACATTGTTGTTTCAACGTTTGCTGTTACATAACTTGGGTGCGATGCTGCTAATGCTACAAGCGCTGCTCCTCTTCCAGTTCCTTCAGATGATAACATTAAAGAGAATGCCTAAAAAAGACATTGTTTCATAAATCTACTATTTACGTTGAAAAAAATTATATTAACTGCAGATTTCTGTTTAGGAATGTTGCAAGTTATCTTTAAGATCAGAAGCGAAATGCTATGTCAAATAAGTTAGTGAAGGCAGTTGGAACCATAAGGGAAACAACATAGGTCACTCGAAAATTCTACAATTATTGAGTAAAGTCAACAGCCAACTACTAAGCGTTAGTTATAAAAAGGTTAAAACCCTTCGGGGAAAAAGTATGTACTTTCAGGTAGTTACTCCATGTGAGTATAACTATAGTGCGGATGATGACCATCGTAGCCTAGATTGTTTTACCAATGGCTCACTCAGTAAGGCAAGGGAAGCGGTGCTGGAATACACATACCTAAATTAGGGATCAGCATCTCCTCCCCTCTTAATAACACCTCCATTTTTCAGGCGGAAATATGGGCCATGTTTGCTGCACAACGCTTATGGATAACAAGATCAGGGGAAAAGACATTAGAATTTTTTTCTGACAGTCAGGCCAGTCTTAAGTCATTACAAATAGAGTATCAACATCTAGGCGTGGAGGAAACTGTTGAACTTATTAATAGGATTAATACCAGGTACGAGAATAGGGTAACCCTCATATGGATACCTGCTCATAAGGGGCACTATGGCAATGAAGAGGCGGATAGCCTGGCCAAAGAAGGTTCAAATACTGCGTTTGTCGGGCCACAACCGGTACTACCACACTCTATGAGCACAGCGAAAGAGAGTATTAATTGCTGGGGCATGAAACAATTCCTTAAAGAATGGAATCTGTCCCCCGGACATAGGCAATCGAAAGAATTCGTGAAGGAAAATCAAACCAAAAGAATCGAAATGGCTATTCTCTAACTCAAGGAGGGGAATTAGGAGGCTGATAGGTATCCTGACGGGACATTGCCCCTTGAGAAAACACCTCTTCATAATGGGTATTCTATCAGACCCCTTTTGCCGCTTCTGTGAAATAAAAGAAGAAACGGTACGGCACTACCTCGCAGAGTGTGATAGGTATGCCAGGCATAGATTTGAAACTTTTGAAGGAGAGGACATTGCCAAATCACTCCCCAAAATAAAATGGTCCAAAATCGTGGGGTTTGTGAACAAGTCCAAGAGGTTTATGCAGGACACGTGAGCCGACCTTTTAGGGATGGGGTACGAGTCTACCCAGGCATTTAACCCCTCGGGTCTTGGTCACCCACCGTGCATAATATATATAATGGCCAATAAGTTGGCCGTATATCACTTAATCATTATTTTGACAATGTTGCATCAACCACATTTTCATTTTTATGCGAGCAGCAGTTTGATTTGAAGGGTATTGTACATTATTTTAAAATCAAATTTAAACTTTGCACCAAGGCCCAAATGTATTTCATTCAAATAAGTTTTAAAGATACAAAAAGGATAAATCAGGAATCTAGGGGGTACAAATTATCTAAAGAATAAACCTGCCTTTATTTCAGTACAAATACAGTATATGAATCATACTATACGATTATAACTTTTAGGCACTTCAAATTTTCTTATGAGACCATGCTCTTTTATGTAACAAACAAAACAAAAATTATTTACAATCAACAATTTACATTTATCAAAGTGTAAATGATTATAACAATTTTTGTTTAAGGCACTCTTCACTTATGTACAAATTGTTTGTCATACCCAGATATATATTTATGTATTTTTATAGCAGTACAAAAATAAATATCTTTTGCTATCAAAAGACAAGATTAATTTCTATAATTTAATAATTACAACAATAATATTTAAACCACAGGGTTCTTTATAACATAATAAATTAATTTAAAATTGAAAGCAATTCATTTAAGTTTTTTTAAGTACAATAAAAACAACACATCTGTAAAGTTTTGAAATTGTAACAAAAATTTACGACTGAATTGAGGTGTTATAAAGTAGATATGGAAAAATATATTTTTTGTACAAAAAACACCTCGAAAGTAGTAAGTACACTTAAAATGACTACAGATGTGAGATGAAAGTATCAAGGATTCACACAAGTGAACCCTTAATTTCAAATCAGACGCTTGAAGCAGCTACGAGAGCAGCACCCCTGCCAGATCCGTCTTCCGAGAGCATCATATCAACCTTTTGCAAAAGAACCACCAAATAGGCATAATTAAATTTTGAATTTGAAAACAATCGGACGGAGGGAATAGGATATCGTGGATGTTTAAAAATAAATATGTATTAGCTTACATGGATCGAAGGGCTTAGAAGCTGAGTGATCTTCTCCATCATGAGGTCGTGCAAATACGGATGGAACCTGTAGAGGGACCCGTCGACGCCGACTGTCACCGAATGTAGGCCCATCTTGTTAATTAATGTTGCGATACTGGCAGAAGCCAAGTGGGCAGCACGTCTTGAAACACACTCGCACACATAACGCACATTGGCACAATCTTGGTCTGTCACATTGAACATGTGCAGTTTTCCAAGCACATTCCTGCAGTTCCTGAACGTACCCCTCTTATCACTGAAACAACAATCCATTAATTTTTATTAAAAAAAAAAAAAGCAATAAAGATTTTTATTTTATTTTGGTGGGATGCAAATAAAAAGTTTTAAAAATCTCTATCTTTCCTTACCTTTCGACTTCTGAAATAAATTCAGTAGGAAAGGATCCTTTTTCGAGTAGTTTGTCAGACACCTCTCCACCAAATATTGCTTTTGCCCGCGCGAACTTTACTAGGTAGAGTCTCACTAACTCGCCAAGGTACATTCCTGATATCATTTTCTCATGGCTGAAATTAAATTTATTTAACACAAATTCATATTTGTAATTTAAAATGGCCTTATCAATTACATCTGCTTTCCCGGGTTGATGCTCGTTTTATCGACTTCTTTGTCGAAAGAAGTCCTGATGAATTCGAGTTCGCCGTTCTCTCCAAATGCACCCCATTCTGTATTGATGAGCACAAGAGGCTTTCCCGGCTGCGATTCGAATCCAGGGACATTTTCAACCTGCTCGACGTAACAAGCATTCGTCCCAGTACCTGGAAAAGTAACGTATAGCGATAAAAATGTATTATTCGCTATGATATCTGTCGGTTTTATAATAAATACCAAGAATAACTCCAATTTTACAATTGTGGTTCTTCCAAGCACATGACATTAGTGTACCAGTTGTATCGTTTAGGACAGCTAACACATCAACATTAATCTAAAAAAAAAAAGTAGTTATATATTTAGATTCAAAGAAAAATTCAGTATATGATACGCATGTATAAATATAATTAAACCTGTGGGTGCAGTGAAAAGTGGGATAAGCTGAGAATTGTTAAAATCAAGTAATGGAAATGAAAAAAAAAAAAAAACACTTGTTGTTTACTATGCTAATGTTAAAAGAATCACGAGAGCATATTCATGGTAAATTTCATCCACGACTCATGTTTAACAAAAAAAATAAATAAATAAATAAATAAATAATAATTAAAAAAATACATATAATCTTTAAACATTTAGAAACGAATATAAAGTACAAAATTCAGATATGTTTTATGACAATTTAAAACCCCTATTTGTGTAAATGTGGCACGGCGGTTTTTTTCATTTCAAAAATGTAAATAAAAACAGAAAATTCTTGAATGTCAGCAAATCTAAATGAAGTTTTGTAGCCCTACCAGTTATTAGCAGATTGTTTCATTTTTACAAATTTAAACAGTAGTTTGAGGTAATTAGCTTTAAAACTGACTCAATTTTCAAAATTTTTACAGGAGATGCAAGAAACGATTTAGAACCATGCATTGAGATTTAGATTTTTTTTTTTTAAATTATTTTTATTCGGAAGATGGAACATCTCCAAACATTTAAGGCATAGTTTCCAATATTGTATTATTTCCAGATTGCCAAAAATTTAAATTTAAATTGTGGAGTGAGCCGGTGTAGCTAATCAATGATGGGCGTACACACTAGGAATTTATGTAGAAAAGATGATCAGGGATGAGGCCGATTTGACTGAAAATACTCAGTTCCTTCGTCAATTTGAGGAATATGCCTTGAACAGGACTATGGAATTTTACAATAATATTTTTATTTTTTTAAATTTAAGCCATGGTTGGAGAAGTACAAAATAAAACCAATTAGAATCCACAGAATTAAAATGACTCTCTTTTCTGTCAAATTGGCCTCATTCCTGTGATCACCTTTTCTACATAAATTCCTAGTCTGTAGGATGATTGCAAAAATGTTAAAAAAAAAAAACACTTTTATCATAGATAATTAAACTACCTAAAAAAAATTTATATATATATATATATATAATCTTTAAACATGATTTCCCAAAAGTTATGAGTTTAAATTAAACCAATTTTCACCGTAACCATAGATGGTTTTTCACATTATTCACCTTTGACCTTTGATATAGACTACAATAAAGGAGGATGATATCCATTCCATAAAGTGAATTTAAAAAAAATAACAAAAAATTCACTAGTTTTCGTGGCCCACTTGACCAATTAATATCTTTCAATGAATTAAGGTTTTTAGTTGAGATAAATTGAAAAATGGCATAAAGGAGGGAAAATTCAAAAGGTGGGGTTGAGATGGGAAGTTGGTGTCCGAATGGATCGAAGTCACGATAGCACAAGTGGTAGAGCAGCGGCGTATCTAGCTGAAGATCGTGGGTTCGAATCCCACTCATGACACTGACTTTTTTTATCTCAACTAAAAGCCTTAATTAATTGAAAGATATTAAAAGGTGGGGTTGAGATGGGAAGTTAGTGTCCGAGTGGATCAAGGTCATGATAGCTCAAGTGGTAGAGCAGCGGTGTTTCAAGCCAAATGCCATGGGCTCGAATCCCGCCCGTGACACTGACTTTTTTATCTCAACTAAAAACCTTAATTAATTGAAAATACAAAAAATAGTGTACTATCTCAAACAGTTCACATTCAGTTGAGTAAATGACACTGATCTTCATCTAATCTAAATTTATCTTGAAAAGTTCATTCTTCAATCAAGATTGAGGTCGTGCAAGTTAAATTAATGAACAATTTAATTTATGAGTATTATTTCATTTTATCAAATGGCAAAGAACTTTTTAAAATTATGACTAGCAAATATAAACATCTTATTAATTTAATTAATCATAATGTTAATCTAAGGACTTGGTTCAGATGAATAAGTAAGTGCTACGAGTGGGGTTCGAACCCATGTCCTGCTAAATATGCCGCACTCTACCACTTGAACTATCATGACTTCGATCCACTCGAACACCATTCCTCATCTCAACCTACAACTTTTTGAATTTTTCCCTCTTTTTGCCATATTTTCAAATGATGTAATCAGGATTTGATTCTCGGCAACTTATACAATGGCCACTTAGAAGCATAATTTATAGAAATAATTAATATGGTCAATTATGGCTGTTAAATGCATGTATGGATTAATATTATAATTAAAGAAGCAATTAATTTGCTAACCCTGTGGCCATTTCATAATTTGCTGACAATCGAATCCTGATTACATAACATTTGAAAATATGACAAAAAGAGGGAAAAATTCGAAAGATTGTAGGCTGAGATGAGGAATTGGTGTATGAAAACACGATAGCTCAAATGGTTAGAGTAGCGGCATGTAAAGCCGAAAGGTTGTGGGTTCGAATCCTGCTCATGACATTACTTTTTCATTTCAATCAAGACCTTAGAAAAAAGTATAATTAACAGAAATGATTAACACAGTCAATTATAACTGTTAAATGCATAATATATGGATTAATATCTTATTAATATTACATTTTTCTTTTTTATAGCGATTTGCAGGAGTTTGACAACATCCTCTCCTTCAACACCAGAGCAGTTAAATCCTTTAGTCCACTTCTGCAGTATCCCCTTTGTTAAACCGTGCTGCATTAGGGGGAAGCTGAAAGTGAAACCTAACGGTAGACATTTGTCCATGAGCCTTTGTTCCCTGATAAATGACTCTAAGCAGCTTGCTATGTGATCAAACAGCTGAAACAAATCAATCATTCAGTTTTCATTTTGTTTTTTAAAACAACTTGTACATACATCTTCTCCAGGACCGGTCATTGTGGCCTGTGGTATCACGTAACTCTTCGACTGCATGTCAAAGTGGCGCCCATTCAGGGTGATCAGTAACACTCTGAAATTTGTGCCACCGAGGTCCAATGCAAGGAACTGTCCGCTTTCTGTCAGACCGAACCAAATTAATTTTTTACAGAAGAAAATCATAAATTAAAACAATCACCTTGCCCAGTGGGTAAATCCTGGACATACGTATTATGGCATTTTACGGAGGATTTGTCTCGTGTTTTTGAGTTAAGGCCTAACAACATCTGCTCGTGCAGAGCGTTCATACACTTTCTCAGCGTCTGTTCTGAAAGCACCATATCTTTGCAAGCATCCCTGATCTGAAACATTATTAAAATCTTGTTACTTATGGCAAAAGACATCAACTTTAATTATTTATTTACTTTTTTTTCCAAATCGGGTTTATATATAAGTTATGTATTACAAATTAATAACATTGTTTATCTGTACAGACAAATGCAACCACCTTACAATATCCTGAGGTGATAAAAGTTTAAACCTCGGAAGAAAATGTAAGATGAGAGATCAAGTAGATTCATTTTACACTTCGCTAAGGGCATATCGGCGAAGCTGTAATCATTTTTAAAAAGGAAGAATCTCTAGGGATGGTTAGGGTTTTATATATATGTAGGGAATTAAAGGTCTCCCACAAATAAAAAGATAAAGATTTAAAGTTTATTGGTAAAGAACACATAAACAAAAGTAAAAGGATAACTAGTTAACATTAAAATACATTAGCGTAAAAAGAAACGTGTTCGTAGGACCGCGTGGTGGTAACAACTAAAACTGTCAGCTGGGGTCCAGATAGAGGGGAGAGACAGAGTTCCCGCCATGTAGGGCCTCCGTTGACGTAGTGGCGGTGAACATCCTACATTTATATATATATATATATTAAAATTCATATAAGATGGGCTTTCAAATTCACCTACCCACAGGAGCCATAGATAACACCAGAAAGGTAGGGGCACAATGGAAATTGAACCGCAAGACCAAGTGGCCCCTAAATTGATTGATTCACAATAAATCAGTAACTTTTCAAAAATTTGATTCATCATTTGACTTTCACCAAAAAGACTGGTTAATTTGATAAACAAATTCAAGGCCAGTTTTCATCTCTCAGCTATTGTACTGTTGGACAGAAATGTTTAAACAATTTGTGGTGTGTGTTTCAGATAAGCATTTGATTCTTTTGATGGGTGGGCGTTATTTTTCAAATTATCGAATTTATTAATAGTCGAACTTTAATTGAAACAAACGTTACCTTGAAAGTCAATTGTTTGCCTAAGCTAATATTAAATTTGTCTTTTTCTTTCTTGTTAATTTTTTTTTTCTTCATGGCCATTCTTTATTGTTTTACTCTTAAATGACTATGTACATATCAGCATCGATACATCTTTTAAAATTTGGTCGATCAAAAATAATATGATTAAAACAAAACAGTTTTGACAATAATACTGGTTGGACAAAAACCGCCCTTTGAACTTATAATCAAAATTGCTATAGTAACAAGTTTATTGACAAAGATTTAAATCAGTTTATGTTATGAATGAGTGGCCATTAGAAAGCAATTATACACTCAAAGGCAAAAAAAACCTGGACACTCGTATTTTGTTGTTCATTTTGAACTATATGTACATATTATTATCATTATATTAATTAAAACATATTTAATTTTTTTTTTTAATTCATGAGTTTTAATAAAAATTATGTAAATATAATGGTTTGAAAGAAAATTCACCAAAACATTGGAAAAACATTAAGATAGATTCAAATTTAACTAACAATATATTCGATCCACTATATGATTTACCGGTGTTTAACAATCATAAATAAATTTTTGTAATATTGTTGTATTATGTTTATGTTTTTTATTATGTTCTTTCCAATGTAAGGTCTAGTAATAGCATATGTTTTTTGGAGTGAACACAGAGAGTAGTATGTAGAAGAAGCTCGACCAAAATCTCGATGTGTTCTGCTTGACGAATGAAAAACATGGAAGAACACTAAAACTGAGGGGCCTCTACTGGCTCTTCAAACTTGGAGGTGAACTTCTGTTCCTCAACTCTACCCCCTTTACACGCTGCCAGAGAGAATCATAAATAAATTTTTGTAATATTAAAACATGAATTTATGATCTCGATTAATTTGGTTTACATTCAAATAAATGGCAGAATTTATTTATCCGATACAGAAATGTGCTCTCTGTGCAATTCAAGTGAAAAGGAAACCGTTTTTGGCTAAATGTACAAGCTGTCCAAGACGTGTGGTTCATATTTGAGTAGTGCTCTCTTGGAAGAACGCCTAGTCAAACTTTAATACGAGCCAAGCATGTACCTAACAAAATTCGTTTGTCATGCCTGGTTTTACCATTTGGAAATGGTTCAAGATTTAATTTTTGATTTATTTGAAGAAATTTTTACTAAATTTCTACTAATTGTAAATTTATCTTCTTCTGAGTTCACCAGATTATTTTATTTGTTTTCTTTTTGGTTTTTGCTATCTTTTTCTTTCTGATTATATTTAAAAAAAGAGACTATTATTAGAGTTTATTGGCTATTTCATTATTTTTTATCAAAATTTCATCAGTAATCTCAATTACAAGCAGACGGATTTCCATTACTGTAAATACTTGTTTTTTAAAAGGGTATGTTTTGTTATTTATATCATTTGTCAAATAAAGTATCATTATTATTATTTATAGTTAATTAATTAAATGTGTTTTTTGTTATATATGGTGCATTTTCCTTGTTCTTTTATAATAATAATAATAATAATATATTAGATTTTGTGATCCGATTGACGAAATAACTTCTTTCAATTAATTAATCTTTATGTAATGTATTGGTTGAGATAAAAACGTCCCCAAATTGTTATTATTATTATAAATTGTCATAATACTACTTATAAAAATTAAATGGTCTTTGACCATGGTTATGACATTCATTTGAACGTAATTTATATACTAAATGAAAAAATGGTTGATTGATGGAACAGAGTAGGAATAACAAAAGGAAATAAATTATTGATGATCAAAATGCTAAATAATATGACATAAATTTGAGAAGGAAACCGATTTTCATTAGTACACTTGCATATAAATGTACCTTTCAACTAAACATATTCTTTAATTTTTACTTCTCGTTTTTATTTTATTTTTTAATTAGTGAGATATTTTTTTAAACTCGTATTTGGTGAGTTATTAATCAGACAACTTTTATTGAAAGTGTCAAAAAAGGTTTTGCATATGTCAGTTCATTATTATATATGATAAATATATAAATAATAAATTATAAGCTTAAGTTTATTTATCAAATTGTCTTCCGATTGAATTCGGCTTTGAATAATACGAATTGACAATATTGACCACACCTGCAATAAATAAAACAGAAAAAAAATGCCCATTGTTCATTTTTGTTCTAGGAAAAAAACTGTGTAAACAAATTTGGCACTATTCGTTATAAATTTATAACATCTATAATTAAATATGGTTTATTAACAGACTCATTCGTTTCAAATTTGAAAAAAAAAATGGCTCAGTTTTATGCAAATTTGGGCTTAAGTCTGCAAAAAGTTTCGTCCACGAATTCGACGTTGTAATGGAGAAATCTGACAGTTGGCAAAAAGATTTTTTATATATTCATATGCTTTAATTGCTTTAATAACAAATTATACTTTAGTTTTTGTAAAAAAAAATAAATAAATAAATAAAAATAAATAAAATAAACAAGTGGCAAAAACGAAAATATTGGTAACGATATGTGATGGAAAAATTGACTGTGAATCACCGAGATAACTAGCGACGATTTATTCAGCTCTTTTCCCGATATCTACACAATTTTTAACGTATGTTTTATATTGAAATTACACCTCATTTATGGTTAATAAAAGAAAATAATGTTAAAATAAATCTACTATAATTTTGTTATTATTAATTTAATTAAAACATTCTCAAAATCGAAAGATGTATATTACAGCAGGCCTAAAATTAATGTGTAACCCCCCCCCACCCTATGCAGAAACAAAATTACTTATAAATTATGAATGATGGAGTGAGTGTGGAGTTCAATCCTTTAATTAAAAAGATGGTTTCTACTCACATTAAGACACTTAATGTGTCATTAATGTTACTTAATGTGAGTAGGAACCATCTTTTCTTTTTTTTTAAAAAAAGGACAAAATTACTTTTTAGGTATAATTAATATTGATTTTTTTTCTTCTTTTTTTTAAACTTAAATGACAAGCTTTAACTAAATAATTTTTTTTTCGATTTTAAATTTATTAATTGCTCATCATTAATTTTATAAATCGTGAAAAAATGGTAAGGTTTGTTTCTGTTTAATTTTAAATTTTTTTGTGGGTGAATTTATGTTTTGTTCTTATTTATGTTGTGTTTTTATTCAATTTTATATTTTAACTATTTACTTAAAACTAAAAATTTTTATTTTTGCCATTTCACAGGTGGGAAAATAATTAATTTTTCATCCCAATTTTGTTAAATCGGCGTGTCGGATGAACGTCGAGAAAAAAATTCGCTGGGCTTACATGTGAGTTGGGTTCTTCGACGTCTGCGAAGGGGGCCATCTCAGGGAAACTGCGCTCCTCTGTCGGTCGGTGTCTTTCCCAGTGACGGAGGGTCGAATGGAATGGGTAGGATCAAGGCGGAAAAACGAAGAAAGGTAGAGATTGCCGATCACACCAACGGGTGGAGGGTGGAGACAAGCCCCCACCATAATGGGACAAGCCTCCAACAAACCTTCTCCCACCTCTTGGAGGGCACAGGGTATGACGTCGCTCGCGTCTTCCTGAATGACACGGTTGCGAAACTCCTCCATCTACACCCAGAAGCCTTGGGCATTTTTTCTTTTTTTTCGGGCAAAGGACAAATAGACTTTTTTGCATTTTAGATCACCGTGAACAAGCAGAACGAAAATTTTTTAAGTTTTTAAAACCGACTGCCAATATTGTCAAATTTTACCGACTGATGTGCATCCAAACTTGGTGTACGTTTTACACGGTTGATGATTAAAAAAACACGAAACAAACACATATCAAATTGCAGGCATTTGCAATGACTTCAAAGTGCTCTGAGAGGAAAATCTGGCCACAAACCGCTAACCCGACGACAATACTACATAAAAAGGAATATGGTTAAGGAAAGAAACCAAAAACACAGTATTGTGAAATTCAAAGGTATGCGAAGTGTTGAAGTAGATGGCCGAGGGAGGAAGACGAAGTAAGACTCCTTCATTATCGTGGCTAGTAGTAGTAGTAGTCAGTACGAAGCACTAAAGGACCATATTGTTTACAATTCCCACCAAGATTGTTAAATATTTAAAAACACCAAAAAGTCTTTCTCATGTCTAGAGCCAGCCGGATAATCCGACAACTTCCCACAGCAAACCATTATTGGAAACTATAATGGATGAAAGAAAGCCAATAGTTCTCTACTCGAATCATTTCTAAGAAGTCGTCCTTGTACTATTTAAAACTTGCTTAATCCATAGTTCGATAGTTTTTTGTTTGTTCAAGCAGTTGAAAACAAGCGAGTTAGTTTTCCTACAACAGACAGTGTATTTATCCTGGCAACACGGTGACTATCAATATGACATTTCAATTGGTACTATATACGAAATCCATTAGAGTTCGTGGTCCGATTGACTAAATAACTTCTTTTCAATGAATTGATCTTTATGTCGGGTATTGGTTGAGATAAAAAGTCAGTGTCACGAACGGGATTCGAACCCACGACCGGCTAAATACGCCGCTGCTCTACCACCTGAGCCACGGACACCAATTTCCCATCTCAACCCACGTACTATATATATATAATATCAAACTTACACTTCTATCTTGTACATTTTGAAAAGGTGGTTGAATTAGCAAAAGTTGGATTGTTTACAAGCACTTATCGTTCCTGTTTATTACATTCATATTTGCACAAAAAATTGCAATCTAATCTTGGGTTTAACAAGATCAAGGTTTGTAAACTGTTGTGGAACAATCACAAGAAATGATCTTTACCATTTTTTCTACAAAATCGGCCTGTTTAAAAAACCGGGGAGGTGTATTATTTATGATTTTCCTTCCTTTCCTTCCTCCCAGAGTCAAACGAGCATTTGAATAATTTTTATCAGTGTTTTTGTTCTTTTTTTTCCAGTTTAATCGAAGAATTACGACAGTTCTATAAAAGTTGAGCCTTGAAGAAAGTTTATTCATTCACACTTGATAGTTTAATTTAAAACTGTCAGAACAGCACAACTTTTGCTTTTAAAGACGTTATCGGTCTTGAAAGTGATGTCAATTGCAACGATTGCAGTTATTTTGTAATCTAATGCTTTTAGTGATAATTAAAAATAGCTTTTACATTAATGCAAGTTGAAATTTACCAATAAATATTAATCAACTTTATGCCTTGTAACTATAAGAAAGTATTTTTTGTTTAAGATTAAATGTCGATTATTTTTAGATCGAGACATTTTTGTACGCCTTTTGTACCAGACGTCCTTGTACGTTGACAGCTTTGCAAACCGGTAAGAACACATTCCTGCTTTTAGGTATAAAGGTGTGATGGAAAAAAGAAAACAACTAAAATACGAGTACTGTTAGGAAGCTGAGCATGACCAGGAAAACAGTAACGGGAGAACCTAAGGTCATTTATACAAATACACGGCATTGAAACTTAAAATATAGTGAAAAACTAAAGAATCAACGTTTATAATGGTGTAGATGGTATATAAAGAAATAAGAGTAAGATCCCGTCTAAAATGGCCGAAAGGAAAGTCTTCTTTCGTTACTATTCAAGGTCTTCATTTTTGGTTGGAAATCACAATAACGGAGGAAAGGACCTGCGGCTGTGGATTAGATTCGGAAGCGTTGTCAGGATGCCGCGATGGTAAAGGACGTCGATCAACGGTAACCGAGACCATTTGACTCGGGTGTCGTATCAGGGTCACAGTCCCTCACGGATTGCCTAGACGGATCGATTTTGGACGGTATCTGTTTCTACGGTCTTGACACACCTCCTGGTCGCTTCGCTATGACGCGCGGTGGTACTTGGCCTTTCACACAACTAGTTTAATTTGGTCTTTTCCGATCTACTCATTACTGAAGTTCGCGAAACGCCGAAACTCAACCGACTGGTTAATTAAACTAATCAGATTTTGAGGGGCCGCAGTAGCCGAATGGTTAAGGCGTCAGACTCTCGGCTATTAGATCCCTTGGTCGTGGGTTCGATCCCCACCGTCGCCTCTGGACTTTTTCTGACGCCTAAGGGGACCGGTGGCCGCAATTGAAAGAAATTGACACGGCACTCATCAATGAAAGGGGCGGGATCGGATCTCAGCGACCCTGAATTTAGTCCCAACCCCCTTCAAAAATGAGTTTCTTCGATTGAACGAGTTCGAAGTACAACGGGGCTCAAGTTCACATTTGTGTTGCGAGCCCTCTCCCAAAATATGGAGCCAGGGATAAAGTACAATAAGCTGTACAGCTCAGCTGCAGTACTCAGGAGGGAACTGGTATCCATTGGAAAAAAAAAAAAAAAAAAAAAAAAAAAAAAAAAAAAAAAAAAAAAAAAAAAAAAACAGATTTTTATTTAAGTACCGCAAAGCTACTGATATACTTTTCCTACTGATATACCACGACCATATACAATGACATCCTTTTATGCGCGCACTAATCAAACTAAACACAATTTCAAGAATTGGATAAAAATCGCCATCAATTGATAAAGCGTATTAAGGTATCAGTGTAGTTGTCGATTGCGTCTGTAAGAGTTAAGACGTCTTTTAGAGTCTGTTATCCCGTTGTGGATTTGGACATTATTCCGGTAAAACTAGTAAGCAGAAAGTGTTTACCTGGGATGCAATGGAGATATCGGCAGGTTTTGGGATCTTTTTGTCCTCAGAGGAATTGTTGCGACCTCGCAACATGTCGAAAAACATTCGAGCGACGAGGACCGCCGGATAATTGACGAACTTGGCGTTATTCGGATGCAAGACGGGCAGTCGGCCCAAATCCGTCTTGGACCGTCTGACCGAGGAAGATAAGCCGCACGCCGGGCGGACTTTGTTGAAAAGCTCCCTCGCCGGGCGCATCTCAGTCCTTGTGGATGTTGGGCTAGGGCGCGAACACAAAGGGTCGGCTGCCTAGCTGGATCTTCAGCCAAGTCGGTCTCGTCATATGTCCTTTGAAAACATATGTTCGGGGAATCGCTAGTCCTCAGGTATTCGAGATTTTATATTTTCATTAAAAAGGAACCACATGGAATAAACGAACTAACATCTGCTACCCATGCTGCAGTCCATTTATCTCTTTTAACTATTTATGTATCTACTGCTTATAGTTAGACTGACTGCAAGCAGAAAGACGAAATGGCTCCTCATGGTAAAATGTACAAAACTGGACGAGAAATGCTTCATTGAAATCCGTCAAATGGCAGTGAGAGTCCTTAAAGCACGAAGTAAATCGGCCCTTTCAAAGGGCAAATGTATACTATATAAAAATACCTACAAAAAAATAACACTAATAGACGAGAGTGTCAGTTAAATCGTTAATGGGTGTGGGGAATCTAACGCCTATTTTTTAATTTCTTATATGTAGGTACCCTTTTAAAATGGGCTGTAATAAAATTACATCGTAAAGAGCCAATTTTGACACGGAAAAGTGGGACGCTAATAAAATCGTGTTTTTATACCAGGTTTAAAAGCTGTATTTATTTTTGCAGAACTAGGGAAAACAGCTTTTTTTTAAAACTACATTTGACAGCTGGTCTTTTCAAAAATTGAAAATAGTTTGGAAACGATATTTTACATCTTGCGATTACTTACTTGATCGTGTATCTTAAGGGATCTGTGGTAAAGTTCCCTCTGGTGCTTATCGACGATGAGGTAGAACAAGTAACCGAGGATTCCTACAGTGCTGAACAAGACGGCTCCATCGAACGCCGAGGAATTTTGAATCCTTTCCATTCTGTAGCACACGGAGCTGGCCAGATGTTGATACACTCGAGTTCCTGCGATCGCGAGTTTTGCCCTCTGCGCGTTTGTAATTATGCCATCTTTGACTTGCAGGGTACCTCGTATGAGTGTTCTCCTAGAGGCGGGAAACCCCTCTTTACCTTCTTTGATCACATAGTACGTTCCAAGTCTGACTGTATCGTTGATGTCTTTTATTTTGACAAAGATGGTGTCTGTGGCATCCTTGAATTGGATCGCTACCACACCGGCCTTTTCGACTGCCTTTTCTTTTACCGTATTAACCTTCATCATAAAAACTCCGAAAAATTCTTTAAAAGACGCGCACGCCTGTTTGGACATCTCGGACATCTCATCGCACGTGCTGTAGAAGATGTACGAGAGTTTGTCCTTTATCACGGCCAAGGATGAGCTCACCCTGTCAGTCGCCGTCGACAAGTCGGACTTGAGCTTCTCTCTAAATCTCCTCTCGATCGAGGTCAGTTGCTTGTAATCGGCCCAAAGTGTGTTCACGAGATATATTGAATTGGACCACGCGACTTTTATCGCACATCGGACGGGAACGGAGCACATTTCGAAGAAACCGCGGATCGGAGAGCAAACCGCGAGTAGCCAGTGTTTGAAATTGATATCCTGGGGGGATTTAATCAGGCAGGGCAGTCGTCTAACGGCTAGTACGAGGTTCTCTTTGCCTTCGTTCAATCCGTCTACGAACCTCTGTACAGCGTCGACTATCGATCGGATGCATATCTTCTTCGCGATGTTCAAGAAGAGATTCCTCACGACGACGGTCAAAGTCAGCAGAATGGTTATGAACCAGACTATGTTGTTCGCAAACGCCTTCATGAGGTGTCTCAAAATACGAACAAAATATTTGAGTATCACCTTGACCGGAAGCTGCAGATACTTCACGAGGGTGCATCCTCGTTTTAACTTCGACATCTTTACGCTACGATTTTTCTTCTTTACCCTTGAATCCGACCCCTGCCTGCCTTGTTCGTCTTTGAAGTGAGTGTGCACAGTAGTCTTAACTCATGTTTTGATTTTTAGGTGGAAAAATAAAATTTAAACATATTTGTTTTGTCACACATGATTCATTTCCGCGGGGTAACCGGAGTCAGCCGATATGACCTCGGATTGTGCCGAGCCCAAACTGGCGCCGGACAACCTTCCATCCCATCGAGTCGATCCTGTCCGAACAAAGAAATAAAGAAAGGGAGGTAGGAGGATTCGTAATCCACGGAATCCACCATTTTCTAAAGTGGCATTTTTAGCGAAAGAACGAATCAAATTAGAAGAAGGAAAAGATAAACTTAGGACGTTTTGTAGACCGGAATACCTAATTTTTGTTTTTTTCCTACTGTACAGCTCTTCCTTTAAAAATTCTCTGATACCTGTACTACTCTCAACTTTCAAGTACAGTTACTCTCACAACGGATTTATTGTTTATTAGTAAAGAAAAACTAGTTAGTCTGGCTAAATACAAGCAGTACAAGTACAGTACAAGCAAAACAAATTTATCACTGCCATATTCAATTTCATATGCCGATACCTCCATCGTGTTTGAGAAAGCGTTTGACCCAAAATAAAATTTACGTAATCTCACGTTGAACTCGCCTCCACTCTGCTATTTAACGATCAAATAATACAATTTTGAGATTACTCGTCAGGAGGAAAGGAAAAGTCGACTAGAAAATCTTAGAATTTTGTTCTTTCGATTTGTGCATTTCACTATTCGGTGACATGGTGTCACGTTTACACACTCTGGTCAGACAGAATCCCGTGAACGGCGTCACGTACGCCGAACCCCGCATGAGAAGCTGTATTTCATCATTGAACTGAGGTCATAAACCATACGAACGCGACCTGGTTTAAAGGACTTAACCGAAATGTCCATTTCAACTTTAAATAAGTCCACGAGAATGCACGTTCACCATCATCTAGATTTCTCATTTTAGAAAGAAGACATTTTGAATATTAAAACCATCAAGAAGAGATCAATTTGTATCGGTTTATAGTTCCGATGTAAATTATTGTTTAGAATGGAAACAGTTGCCTTCAACAATCACTTTCTAATAATAGTTAACGTTGTCGCAAACATTCCGGGGTTTTAAGATTTAAGAGAATTTATTTCCAGGAGACTCGGAAGTGATTGTTTCTGTCAAATAAATAACTATAGTTTTGATTTCTTTTTTAAACGCGGTTTTCGAAATTAGGCCAAGTGACAAAATTGAATGGACTAGTTGCCCATCGTGCAATAATTATCTTGTTTTGTCCCTGCACTTCTGAACCTAAACCAAGAAAATGCACCATGCGTCTTTATCTTCGATGTTTATTCTACGAGGATGGTTAGAAACGCAAATATGGATAAAAATAAATTATTGTTGTTTCTGAACAAAATCAAAGTAGACGAGTTACCGTTATAAATATAGGCAACAAATATACACTTGTGTCCACTTTCTACTTCTGTAATTTCGTTATGATTTACAAGAACATTCTGTTATATATATGGTTGAGAATGGTCTGGGCAACGGTTATTGCGTCAATGTTGGCATCACAACATATACATAACAAAATAGTAAATTTGAGCAAAAAATGAAACAAATCTTACGTAAAGTTTAAAGAAACATATCATTTGGAAAAATAGAAATTCATAAGCGACGATTCGATAACAATTTCACAATGTTCGTACAAAACACGACGCTTTACTTTTTGTCTTCTGAACATTTCGACGACCAAAATTATTTCTTGATAGGTTAAAAAATAAAATCGTGGCCTGTGACAAAGGCTGTTTGCAAATAAATGCTAATAAAGAATACAGATAAGTCAAGGTCTTCAAAGTAAGCTTCGTGTGGAAAACCTGTTTCCAGATCCAAATTTTTTTTGGTTAGGGAAAACGAAAAAAGAAACCGAGAAGAATCATCGTGAAGTTTATTTCTTACCCAACAACTGTAATGTATTTGTCTGATTCGTGCAGAATGGGTCATATTGCTTTTAATTTTATTAGTTTTTAGTTCCATCAGGTTTTCTTTATTTATGGAAGTCACCTTGTTATCATCACATCTGCCTTTGTTATTCTATTTTGCTTTAATGAAGTCTGATGATGCTCACAAGGTGAGTGAAAGGCGTTTTCCATAAATAAAGTAAATCTGCTGGAACTAAAAGCTTTTTGAATTGACCTAAACGTAATATGACCCATGACGAATCAACAAACACATTACAGCTGTTTAAGCTTTTTGTATTTACCTTGTAGGATGAGGTTCCATAGCAAATAGTGCCTACTTTAAAATGAATATTAAGTAGGTCGTATTTAAATATGTGAAGTAGATTAAAAAAAAAGTATTTTAACTGAGGCCCCGGTTTAACGTCATTAGACGAGATAACGCAACATGCAACGTCATCGCCCCAGTGCACACATGTCATCGTCAAAATTGGGTCAATTACGAATCGTAAATGTTTCAAATTCAATTTATTCGGGAAATTGAGTGAGTCGTGTAGGTAAAAAGTGTCGAGGTTGACAATAAATGATAAATGGTTTACCTCTCGGGTCGGCTGGGTTTCGGTCAGGTCGTTGTCGTCTTTGACGGGTTGGTCGGAGGAGCAGAGGCAAAATTTGGTGATTATGTCCGTTTTGGGCCTCATGTCGACGAAAACAATGCTGGTATGCGACTGAGACCTGCCCTAGGTTGAATGAAGTCTTAGGGTCTGTAGCGTAGGGGCGAATAGCCTGTGAACGGGTGGGGAGGGGCTCGCCTTCGGATCGACCAATCTGCCCCGAGGACGTCACCGCTCGATGCCATTCACGTACGGTCGGATGCCTGTGGGTCCGTGAGGCCCCGCTTTCATCGAAAACTCTCCGGAGAATCTCACTGTGAGGACGGTAGCGGAAACAACAGCAGACGGAACTACACGTGTGCGTAATCTGGCGCAACTGGGACGCCACTGCGCCGGCCCATGCCACGTAGCACTAGGCGCCCGGCCGTTAATCCGTCTGGGGGGGCTCGTCACCACTAGACAGATCGATCACCTGCCTTGCCCGGATTAATGAAAATAAATAGGAAGATGTGACTTATTTCGCGATTTACGATTACATCTCTGGTTAAAAGGGTCCAAGTCTAAACATTTTTCTGCCTATGAGTCCTTAATTTGTCCAAATTTAGCTCGTCCTTCTCTCTGCACATTAATATCCTATTCTGACATGTTATGAAATAAACAAATCCCGATTTAACCACAAATATATATTTAATATAATTTGTAAATTATTAATTATGTAACTAATAAACTAATCAAAACTGGATCAGCTCATGGGAAAAATACACTGACAGGCAAAACATTCAGCCCAATTAATTTTTTTTTTCATTTTCTCGATTAAAGAAAATTTTGTCCTTAATTTGTCTTATTGTTTTTACCAATTAATATTTGTTTATGCTATGTTTTAAATTGGGAATATAAATTAGAGATAAACTCACTTAATCCTTAATAATTAATTAAGGTTTTTAGCTGAGATGAAAAAAAACCTTAATTAATTGTAATGTTTAATTGGTCAAGCGGACCACGAAATTAGTGAATTTAATCCTTAATCCAAAACAAGGATAAAGGATTTTTCAATGTTTAATGTTTACGTTGTTTTTTTTTTTTTTTCGAGGGTTCGCAACAGCAGAGGTTATATCAACCCTCGGGGTGCCGGTGTTTTCGAAAAAAGCCCATTTGTTAGTATGTTGGGTTCGAATGTAGGGCCGCTGGATTCGAACCCGGGACCTTTCCCTTACAGTGATGAGCTCCGTGTCAACGCCTAAACCGTTGCGGCCACCGACCCCCCCTTTACGTAATTTAAAATGTTTATTCAGTCTCATTTGAATCCTGAAGCAATAAACTGTTTAATTTTCATCTTTGTTTTCTTAATTTCAAATTTTTAAACATAAAAATGCCACTTAGTGATGAGGATGTGCGTGGTGTGGCACTTATTGATGATGGGCGTTCCTATTGCCATCGGAGACGCCGTTTACCCAAGCGAATAAAGGTCGTTGGCAAAAAATGAAACAGGTGTTTTTCTAAACTATCTCATTATTGACCGCTCCTCACGACTTGAACAGATTATTGTACCAAAGGTTCTACCAATTGTAATACACTGTTGGGTAAAATTAACTCACCAACCTTAAATTTTAATGCATACCGAGTATTTCCACCCTTGGCACGAATCAAATCCGTTAAATGCCTTTGCATTCCCTGGAAAAGATTTCTGATAAAAGCCTGAGGAATTCTTGCCCATCCATCAAGAATGGCCGTTTCCAATTCTTCAAGGGTGCTCGGACCTGGGTTTAGCCGTCGTACTCGACGCGTAAGTTGGTCCCAGATGTTTTCAATTGAGTTCAAATCTTTCGAGGTGGCCACACCAAGAACATTCCAACTTCCATCAGGTAGTCATCCACAATACGTGTTCTATGTGGCCTGGCATCTTCCTGCGTGAACAAGAATCTCTAACCGCTGTGGGGAGGGGGGCAAGTGGCACTTCATGTTCTTCGATTATGTCTTGTAAGTACCTCAGTGAAGTTAGAGATCTTCCTAAGAACCAATTCGGTGCCGCCGTCCAAGGAAATGCCATCCTACAGCATCAATGATCCGCCACGGAATGCCATCTGAAGCACCACGGGGCGTACCTTTTTCTTGAGCGCTTCCATATGAAATTACGCCCATCTGAAGATTTGAGGCAGACTCCCACCTCATCTGCATAAAGAACCCAATTTTCCAATATCCAATTAGCACGTTCCTGTGCGAATTAAAACCAATTTCCTGGCTGTAGTAAAAAGAGGTCTACGAGCCGGATTCCCGGCCCTGAGGTTATTTTCCTTGAGCCTTCTAAGTACAGTTCTGGAGGAAATTGAAACATTTCAGACTTCTCTTATCTCATTTCTCGTAATGCTAAAGTTTCGTACTGCCTGATAACAGATGAATCCATGGTCTGTAGACCTAGGTGGACCTGTTGACGCCATCTAGTGTGATGTCTGTTTTTTCTGATGCGAAGAACCCTTTCTATTGTAGAATAGAATGATCGGATCTATGGCGATCCGAGCTG